CACACGTTCCCCAACGCTACCGACTACTGGACATTCCGAAAGATGTTCACGATCCAGTTGGCGCTGATCGGTTTTGCAGAATTTGTCTTCCATTTGAACCGGCTTAACCCTGAGATGTTGCAGATTGCCCAGGTAGGCGTTGAAAGCTGGTTGGCCCTAGGGACTTTGTCTGTGCCCCTCCAATCTAGCAGAGTTGGCTGGCTGGGGAATTCTGGGAGTTGAAGTCCACCCATCTTAAAGTTGCCAAGGTTGAGAAACGCTGGCCTAGAGATATGTGAATGCACACTCACAACAGGAGGGGAGAGCTGAAACACAGACAGACACAGAGGTGACACACGCAGTGACCCCGTTTAGACTCTGGGGAGAAATTGCACATACACACAGACGCAACACATCAGTTCATCACAGAGAAGAAAACCCAAATGTCTTCTCTGGCCACTGCTGGTGAAGGGGTTGGGAAGAACACCAGAAGCCACACTCTTTGTCTTTTCCCTACCTTGTTCTTAATGCAAAAGATGCTGAGCTTGCTGAAATGTTAATGGACCCCTCCTTCTTTTTTTTTGACCCCCGCTTCCAATTCTAAAACCCTTCATTTTCAGTTGTATTGTCTGGGAGAACATTGAAAGTTTCTGTATTGAGAAAGGCAGAAACAAGAGCAATTTTTCCCCGTGCCTGACCCATCCACCAGCACAACAAAAGAGCCCATTATTCAGGATTGATACCTTGCTGAGAAAGTTTATACCTGTCATCTTTATACGGCTGTTAATAGAGGGGTGCGTTCAGAGCTGAATTTCTTGTTAACCTCTCTGCGCTGATTCTGCCTGAGCAGGTTACAAAGCATCCTTTATGATTCTGCATGAACGTCAACCTTGTATATCAGAAAAATTGAATAGGAGGGGTGCCCTTTTTTTGATTTCATCTCTAGGGGACATGGCAGGGGCCACACTACCAAAAAAAAAACAAAAACAGTTGAGCAGGAGAGGGAGAGTTAAAATCTAAATCTAATGTCATTAAAATTGCATTAATTAAGTACAATGAATATGAGTCCTCCCATTACGTAATACATTTTCTCTTTCCATCGCATTACCGATTACTGTTTGGTGGAAATGTCTGGAAGCTTCTGAAGGCCACTCTGAAGATTTTGGAGGGCCACATGTGGCCCCGGCGTCCCAGGCTGTACATTATTATTTTGGAGTAGTTTTTCTGTCTCCCCCTTTCCTATCATTCCTTACAATGTTGTGCTTGTGTTTCATTAAAAAAAAAATAGGATACAGGCAAATTAAATGTGGCCTATTTCCGGTTCGACATCAACGACGCTACCGGAGATCTGGACGCCAACCGTCCTGTCCCGTTCCGGCTCACCCCAAACATTTCTGAGTTCCTCACCACCATCGGGGTCTCTGGCCCACTCACTGCATCCATGATTGCAGTTGCCCGCTGTTTTGCTCAGCCAAACTTCAAGGTAAGTGTGTAGTGGCTGCCTCGGGGCTGGGTCAGTACTGAGATGGGCAGCTTGTCCCTCCCTCAGCCACCAGAAATCCATCTGCAAAGCGCTGCTGTGCTTCAGCGCTCTTTCATGCCCATTTTCCAGTCAATTAGAGAACCATTTCGCTTCCCCTTGTACAACCAGAGAGCCTGTGCAGAGCCATCTTGGTTTTGATTTGGGGGGAAGAATTGTTGCTGTTTGGAGGGTAATTCCATCCTCGCCTCGGCCCATTGGGGCGGAAGTAATTGGCCCAGCCGTTGTGTCCTTCTAGCAACGCCGGCATTTGCAAGGCTGAGAAAGGTGATGGAAATGACATCGTTTAGCTTAGGGTAATTTTCTCCCCCCCACCCCTCTAGCGCCGCAAATCAAAATTGGCCTTGGTAGCTCGTTAGCAGAACAGGGAGTGAAATCTGTACTGTGTCTGTGATGCGGCTGAGCTCGTTGCAGGAGGCTCTTTGCTAAAGGAAGTGGGCGTCTTCCTTCTGAAATGCTCAAAGGAAGGAACAGCTTATGTTGGAGCTACTTTTGACGACTCATCCTGCAGTTGGACTAAATCTTCCCCAAAGCTTTAAAGCACCACCCTTCCCGCCCCCCAAAAAGAGGATCGGATTAAAATATTTCACCACCTCCAGTGATTCTGAAGTATAAATCTTCCGGCTTCAAAGGTTCTGGCTTGACCCAGATCCTGAATCCAGACTCTCTCTCTCAATTGGCTTGCTCTGAAATGAACTTGTTGATGTAAAGAGTTAAGAAAAATGTCTGGAAGAAGCCCTAAAGCACCAGGGAGTATTTCCAGGGCAGTCCAAAACTCCACCATCCTTCTGATTGTTTTTTTGAGTTGAATTCACTCATCTTTTTCCCTACCTTCTAGGTTGATGGCATTCTGAAAACAGTGCTGCGGGATGAAACAATCGCTTGGCATAAGAAAACCCAGGAGGATACATCCTCCCCGCTCTCGGCAGCCGGACAACCTGAGAACATGGACAGCCAACAGCTGGTTTCGCTTGTTCAGAAAGCTGTGACCGCCATCATGACACGGCTCCATAACCTAGCTCAGTTTGAAGGTGGGGAGAGCAAAGTCAACACCCTGGTTGCGGCAGCTAATAGCTTAGACAACCTCTGTCGCATGGACCCAGCCTGGCATCCATGGCTGTAGATGTCATGAAGGCTTGGATAATAACAAAGCCAGTTGAGACATGAAAGGGAACCTTCACACCCATCATGGATGGCTTCTTCATCCATCTCGGCCCTGATATTTGCAGCATGATCAATTTTCCAGGAGCTGTTCTGTTTTTAGGCTCCGAAAGTTGTTTTCCTTCCTCATTATGCTGGCATCACCCCATTCTGAGGGATCACGAAACGGATGAGATTTGAACTTTGCACATAGAACAATCTTGTTTTATGTCGTGAGCAAGAAGAGTTGAAGATGCTTGTGAGAGCTGAGACTTTCATAGGAATCCTCGTCAACCTTTTTTAAAAAAGTGCTTTAAAGAATTATCCCCACGTTGTGGATCTTAGTGTGCAAAGATTTTTTCAAGGTTTTTTTTTTAATTGTTTACTTTCAGGTTGATACAGAGACTGCTGAAAGATCATTTTAACCCAATCAAAAGTGTATGTGAGTTAGTGGAATTGTACAGCAATTTTGTAAGAAAGATGTACAGGAAATCCCTCTTGTTTTTATTGGTGTTGTTACTGTTTTGGTTGCTAGTTGGTAAAAAAAAAAGATCAAATTGTGCTTTTTTTTTCCCCCCCTGCAGAGCATTATGTAGTGAAAGGGGACTCCTTTCTGAATTTTGGGTTGATGAATCCCTTATGCCTAAGAGGAACATTATAAAACAGAAATTGTCATCTACTAAAATAAGTATTTGGAAGTAACCCATTCACACCAAATCCAAAAGCTTTTGAAAACCTGGTGACCTTTTTTTCTTTTTTTGAGCTCTGACTCATTTAAATGTAACTTCCTGAGGAACTCTTTAGTTTTAGCTGTGTAATTTAAAAGAACAGAGAAAGAAATTGCTTTTATTGGGGTCCCTGTTAGCATTTTTTTATAAACCATGCAATATTGAGAATGTTCTAGTTCAAATTTGTATGGAGTGAACTTTTTTCAGAATAAATATTTTCTAAAATGCCAGAAATGGCACTTATTTACCAGAAGGTGGTCTTTGAAATGGCAATAAAAAGAGAGGTATGAGAGGCACAGCCCTCCCAAAAAAGGAGGGTGCTTTTAAAATAGAGATTTTTCCTATGCCTTTTGGCTGCACACGGGGCATAAAGAGCAGATATAAAATTGCCTCTATATTCAGACATTCTAAGAACTTGGTGCTTTAAATATGGCCATTTTTGTGCCTTTAAACAGAACTCTGCACATCATGTGCTCACCCCCCTGATTCATCCTAGTGACTTTTTCGTCATATGTCACTTCTCAGATGACTCCAATTCCCATCTTCCTTGGGATTCCAGTTCCCAAATATCTCATCCAGCCTACATCCCCTTAGTGAAAATTTTGGGGGATCCACATTTCTCCCAGTGAATCATGGCTGTAGCAAAAGAAATTCACATCTGTGCAAAGGTCAGCTTTGCTGATGAAGAAAGGGAGGGTAGGAACAAAACAGTCCCATATTCTGGAGGGGGACTGCATTTTTCCATAATCAATACCCTAGTCAAGAACTATCCAGGAGGAGAGAGAGATGCGGCCTCTTTTATTTATGCCTTGGTTTATTTGGGGAACACCGTTTGCAGCTGATGAAGGTGAGCAAACGCTGGAGCAAACGGGTGCAAAAAGAGAGAAAATTACACTCCCCCGTGTCCTGGAAGGGCAGCTGGCTGATGTAGCACATGGAGACCTGGTAAAACTCCACGTTGTTCCATTGGGTGAAGCATTTGTGCGTTTTTGATGCTGCTAATTGTATTTTTGCTCTCGCCGTCTTGCTCCCAAGTGAGATCATGTAGCGCTGGCTAAGTGTTTCGAGTCATCGAAGTCTGGGACCTTACTCCCCCGCAATGCCCCCACTGTAATTGGGCTGTTCAGTGGGTTAAAAAAAGAGAGAGGGAGAGATTAGGTGGTTGGAGATGACTCAGGGTGTCTAGCAAAGAAATAGCTGCTTGAGGGTAGTGGTGGCAGGAAGCTGACTGTTTTAGCTAGATGCCAAAAATAGCATATCAGCCTAATTCTCTATATACTGATGGATAGAGCATTGACTCCTGAGTATTTTGCTGCTGAATGTATACTGAAGGGAGGAATCTAGGTATCTATGAACAGCAAGGTACTGCGAGCACCTCTCTTGGGGCTCCATCCGGTTCCCTCTCCTACTTAACGTTATTGCATGTTAAAGATAATTCTGCTAATTAAATCAAGTAATGGGAGTTAGTCTGATGCAAAGCTTCAGTCCCTAGCCCAGGAGATGTTCTCTGGAGTTATCACAGAATCCATAGATGCTGTTCAGAAACAAAAATGGTAAGCGGTAGGATCTTTTGAAGATGGTGTCCGCCTGAATAAAACATGAACATGTTGGTAGAGAGCATCTGGAAAGGGTGTGTACATGCCAACCCTTCATGGTAGGCCAGGTCAGGAATCCCCACAAGAATGCTGCAACTCTATTGATGAAAGTTATAGTAACAGAATCTTGAAAGCCTGACAACGTTTTCCCTTCCCTCCTTCTAATACCAAAGAGGGCCAAGGTGAGGCAGTCTTGAGTTGACTCCTGCTTTCTTCCTTTCTTGGGTTTAATTCATGTTTTGCTAACTGCCACCTTTCTTCACCAAGGTCATCTCTGTGGTTCTCTATGGCAGGGTTTTTGAAGGAGAGAGGGACTTGAGGGACTTGCCAGCAGGACTTCTGAGATGGGAGTGTTTTGAATCACCCACATCTGCTCTTGGTTACAAGGTGGACCATGGAGTGCAAGAAGAACCAAACAGTCCAACCAGTCAGTTCAAGAACCAACCTTAAGGCAATGATCTGCAAGGAGACACTCATTCCCTTTGGGTGTGTGATGCAGACAGATGATGGACTAGAAAGAATGGTTATGCTTGGCAAGGTGGAGGGAAGTAGAAGAAAACCAATGACATGGAGGACATTCTGAAAATGTCTACCAGTCTCAAAGTTTACTATGCTGGAAGTGGAAACAACAGTATGGTTACCAGAAAGATTAGCCTGGAACCTGCCCTCCTTTTACCTGCATCTGTTGTATTTTGGGTTTTAGCAATTATTCGACTTCAGATATAGGAGGACAGGTTTTGGTTTGGGATGCTTAAGCATCTGAGCAAAGACAATGGCATTATTTAGCTAAAAAAGTCTTTCTCAAGTCTTCAAGCAGAGGCTGGACTGGTTTCACTAAGTCCTAATAACTTTGGAGGAAGTTGAAGAAATAGATTGGACTTGGTGACTATCAGCCCTTCACGGTGGACCAGATCAGGAAAAATTGTCCGCAAGATGTCTAGAACTATATTTTATTGAGACAGGCTAAAAGAATCTTGCAGGATTCTCCTCCTGATTGCATTTTCCCTCCCCTCCCTTCCCTCCCTTCCCTCTTCTACCCCAGGGAATCAGCGTGGAGCCAGCCTGAGTCTCTTCTTAACACTTTCCCTGTTCCCCGGGCATGTTTTGTAACCCTCTCTGAATCGTTCCTCCAAGATCGTCTCCATGGCTCCCTACCCCAGTCTCTGTGGCCTCCTCTGCCTTGCTTCTACACTTTTGACCCATTAGACTCAAATGCGAAGCCCAAATCAAATTTGCTTTTTGTACAAGAGTTCCTTGTTAAAATTCCCTCCCAAGCCATCCATGATGCCATCTGCTTTTCAGAGCAGCTGCCAAGGAAACCAGCCCATTGGCTTCAGTGAGGAAGGGTCACGGGGCTGGCATTTATTATTTTTAAAGGTGACATTTGCTTCATAGAACTGATGCAGTCAATGCTCCAACAATCAAGCCATGCTTGATGGCTATTTTCCTTGGGGAGATGGGGTATTTATCCGTGGCTGCTGTCAGAATCCCACCCTCATCAATCAAAGTTTGCCCTCCTTGGGCCCTCAATCAGTGCTGACTTCATAGGTTTTCTTAAGAAAAGCTTCTAATTTCTTATCTGAGGGAGGACAGAGGCCCTTGGTGGCTTTTGACTTCTAAGCACATTAATTCTTGTCTCACTGCACTGCCTGGTGATATTTATAAGACTTGGATAATAACGGATCAAATCCTCTTATTTGGCAAGATCTTTTGATCAGCACCCATTGCTGCAGTGGGCACTTCGGCACTGGGTATAATGGCATGTGGGAATGACTTTGGGAGTCGGGAGGAAGAGCCGCAGACTAGGCCACAGTGAGATAAGAGGCAGCTGAGCCTGCATAAGGAAAGGGACCGAGGCAAATGTCTCAGTAGGGATCCTCCCTAGTTTCTTGGGCTGTAAAAGCGAGGAGGGAGAGATGTACTTCCAGACTTGCAAGATTCTATTAATGTAACTCGTACTTCTGGGTGTGTTTCTTGTCTGGACTACCTTGAAGGGCTAACATCAATCTTCCAAGTCTGAAAGTCATCTCTCCCCCCTCCCCTTTTACAGTCCAAGAAACTAGGGAGGGTCCCTTGTTTGCCACACCCTCTCTCCTTCTGTGGGTTCAGCTGCCTCTTATCTGACCATTGTCTACTCTGCAGCTCTCCCTCCTGTCTCCCAAGGTCATTCCCTCATACCGTTACACTGGGTCAAGAGCACACCAAAAGTCAGGACCACAGCAGGATTTTAATGGAGGTCTGCCAGTGTCATGCAAGTTGCAAGCTCCCTTCCAAAGCTAAACAAAAAATGCTCTGTCACCCACTTCCTTGAGAAAAACCCAGCAATTATTCTATAAATCAGATCTGGAAGTTGATAGATGTATTTTTAAAGTAATATAAACTGTGTAGGTGGCAGTAGTTTTCCCCCCCCTTCCTCTCAAGGTAATTTCATTGCTTTTTATTATATCATCTTTAACACAATCAATTCTTTTTCATATAACAATAATAGGTAAAAACAGAAGGTTGTCAATCATGCTCAAACAAAACAATGACTTCATTCTGTTCGCACAACACATTTAATCAGGTTGGAAAAACCTTGTGGTTACATCAGCACAAGAAGCTAAGCTAGGATTTTTTGCAGTTAACCCATTTGGTTCATTTATGTTTGGATATACTGTGTGATCCCAGAAAAAGGGGTAAGTCAATAACTTGGTTGAAGGCTCCCCAGTCCCTACGCAGAGATTGTATTCCTGAATTTCAAAGTGTTAAGCTACAAAATAAATGTTTATTAACCAATTCCAGCGGTCAACCAAGTTGCAAGTTTGGATGACAACCAAAGTGAGAACTTTGCAAGTTGTGTAATCTATGGGCCATCCATTCCTACTCTACTTTCTGGAGCTTGCACAAGCAAAATAACACATTCAAAAATAACAACATAGTTATTTTGACAAAACTCCCTTCAGGTAGAACAGTTGCTTTATAATGGAGTTCATTATCCCTCCAGACCGTTAGCTGTTGTTAGAAGAATCCCAACGAGAACCAAAATCCAGTTTTGGGCCTGTGATACATAAAGACCTGCCTTAGAAGATTACCAACCAATAAAGAAACATCAACAAGTAATCAGTTGCCCACAACACATCTCATGCCATGTAATTTACAACACCCAATTTACAGAACTTTCACCACACTCAAAGAGCAAACCTAGTTGCCTTAGTTTCTTGCTGTGAGTATTGGACAGCTCTTTCCATTTATTGCAGCAGACAGAGTAGTAGCACTTGTCAATATGAACATTTTGGGAAATAACAGAGAACCATCAATTTCAGAAAACTATTCTCTTTCCTTTTAAAGGCACTGCTCTTTGAGGCAGGTCCAGAGAGCCAAAATGGGGGCATGATTTCCAATCGTTCTACATCAGCTGAACTCCCATGCGTGCTCCAGCTTCAACTTCTGATTTTCAACACAGGTATTGAGAAGCTGTTTGGTTCTGGTGGAGGCTGCCTTGGGTGGCAAGCTACAGAGCTGCAGGGAGTGGTCATCTTAGCAAATCGCCATCCTGCTTTGGATTGACTCCACCCATCATGGTTACCCCTGCAGTATAAGTAAGCCCAGTGGTCCAGTTAAATCTCTCTTGAACCACAAGGAGTATGTTC